GGGGGGGGGGGGGGGCACCTGAGAAATGGCCTCCCTGCATGATTATTGGGCTTCAGCATGCACATAGAGAAAGAGGCAGGTACTGAAGTCTAACCCATGAAGAGCTTTAGAGATCCAAACCATCACTTAGGACTGAGACTGGAAATAAACCAAGCGTCACTGCAAGCCACAGACAATATTATGATAGAGCACCTGATTCCAGTTAATATCTTGCCATCAGTTTTTACATTAGCTGTAATTCCTGGATTATTCTTACTATAGCCCTGTGTACAAAAGCTGCTGACCAATCAAAGAGAATCAACCAAGTTGCACTTCCCTTGACTCTTTCCAAGAAATGGTCATCCTATGGGGTGACAAGCCTCTTTCATTGCCAAATCCAGGTCTATATCTGACCAAACTCCATCTCATCCAAGAAAGTTTAATTCAACAATGCACCTTGAATAAAAAGGGGGAAGTACACAAGGCTGATTTCAATTACACTTGCATTTTGATTATAATTTAGCATCTTTTCCTAATCCATATAAACCAAGGTGTGGTGAAACTACTCTGTTTCACTGATAAGGCAAAGAAATGTGGTTTGGGGAGTTGCATGTATAAGAGAAGCATTCTGCACATTATGTTATATCCATCTGAGTTTTATATGGCATGCTCTGCCCCTTCCTAACCGCATCTCTTCTATGTCTGGGCTGCTCCTACTGCTCATTAGCCCTGACTTTCTCACGGACCTTGATCATCCATGGAGGAGTCAGATTGTGCTTAATATACTTCTAGTGCTTGGACCTCTCTCTGGGGACTGACCGTAGACATTTTCCATCAGTCGAAATCATTGTCTCTGCTCTGATGACTTCATCTGAGGTGCCAAATGATTACTTATTTCAACTGCTTTCACTATCTTATCTTTTCAGGAATACCAGTACATCTTCACATACAGGAATAGTAATTACTCACCTTTTCCTGTGAAGTCACAGACTGAAGCACAACCTCAGGTATGGAAAACATTGGTTGCACAATATTTTATTATTATTGCCCTTGATTGGAGATGAAAGGAGGTTTGACACAAAAATGTTTCATGCCTCATGAAATTCTTTCCTAAGTGGGAAGACTATTTATCCTGTCTGTTCAACACATTCATCTTTCCCTGTACTGGAATGTTGAAGGCCACCTATAATTCATTGTTCTGTGTCTCTTTTCAGGAAAAGAGCTTTGGGACTAATATTCCATGTTCTGACCGCAGCCCCTCCAACACAGTTCCTGTCTCAGGTACAGATTCTGTTTATGCATTACTTCATTCTGCAAGTTCAGGAATCTCTCAATATTTATTAAGACAAAGATGGGAATGTTTATTTATCTGTGAGCTGAAGGAGCTCCAGGCAAGTATGTTGGTACTGAGAATGGGAGGTTTTTTTTAAGATTGTTTCATTTATATTCCCACTGCAATCCATGTTACTCTTGGCATAACTGTTTTTTTAATACAGAATCTGTTGTCCTATAAGTGACCTGAAAAATATATAATGGTGATTCCAGTTTTACCGAAATGTAGTACTCCATTCATCCAACAGTTGGATTCTCATTTTTCGTTATCAAATATTCACTGAGAATATTTGATCTCCACTATAAGTCACTCATCAAGAACTTGATATTCATTATGAGATCAAGGATATGAACATATTTGCTTAAAATGTAATACCACATTCAGATAAATCTCTGCTCCTGATGGGTCAAGGAGGATAGAAAATTGAGTGCATAATGTCATTACAGAGCACCATTTAATATTGCAAAGTCTAAAAGTCTAAATGAGTTTACTGAGCATAGAGGCTCAGGTTTTGAGAACGTAATCATAGGTGGTTCATGTAGAAAAGTCATAGTGAGGATTATTGGTTTGAGTTTACACCCTTCTATAAATCTACTTATAGGATAGATTAGTAGTTGTGTGCATCTTATACAAGTGTTTATTTCTAACATTATTGCAGTAGGACATTTGGTATCAAGAAAACTCCTTGACAGGTTGTGATGGCTGAGGATAATGTGAGTTGTAACCCAAAGCAATGTGAAAGATATCACATTAGGGAAGGTTTCTTTATTAAGAAGAGAATGATCAATTATACTACCTCAGCTCATGTAAAACAATATATGCTAGATATAGACGTTTCTCTAAAATAGTATACTAAAAAAAATAATCCAGTACTGAACAAAAGGTCAGAAGGAAGAAGGAACAGCATTAACTGCTCTTCTTGTTTTGTTCTTGGTGAAAAAGAATTTCCACATGGTGAAGATTGCATCAGGTTGAAAGCATTTCCAGACTTCTATGATACCATAACATTGAATTGGGTCAAGACAGAGCCAATTAATTTTTTGCTTAGATGTGGAGCATTTGAAACCACAGTAAAACTAGTTGTTCAGGTTAATTTTTTAAGCAAAGCAGCTTTGTGGAGCTTATGTGTAACTCCTGCATATCAGGTCTTTCAAGGGCAAAAGTAGCTGGAAGACTTTTGGGCTCATTATTTACAGGGATTACAGGGAATGGCAGGGATACACATATACATACTTACATACATCTCCAGACATGATATGAAGATGTGGATGGTGACAGCTGGGACAGTGCAAGCAATTTATTTTATTTCTCTTTTGCATAGAATGAGGGTGAGGTTACAGAATGGAAGTACGCTTGCTTGTTGTTTGAGGAATGTTCAGAAAGCTAGGGGGGATGGAGTCTAAGGTCAAACAGATGTTCAGCTCAAGATGCCCCACCTTATGATACATTCATCATGACCCATAGGGGGATTTCTGTGTTGAAGAGTTCTGATTTTGGAAAGAGCCAAACAGGGATGGATGTAAAGAGATAGGCAACTCCAAAATTAGATGTCCTCTTCCAACTTTTGAGAGGGCAGGGAGAGGGGCAATCTGACCAACCCTAGGAAACCTATACTGTAAAGCTATTCTAAGGAATATAAGATTGCTTCCTTTGATACATTTTAGGAACATAAGCATTTATATGAATTTTCCCATCCAGTTAACTTATTGTTAACTTGTTGAATTGCTAATGAAACAAACTTGTTCCCAGCTCTATGTTATATATTGGATTTCCAATGATTTTTATATAGAAAAAGAGAATTGAAAGAGTGATTTGTATTAAAAATGTAGCTTTTTAAAGGACATTCTGGATTCCTGTGAAAAGCTTCTAAATCATTTGATAAAGACTGCCAAAAACCCAAACCATTTAATATATTTGTTTTGTTAAAATATAACAAGCACATTATTTCTTGAGAAATAGCTAGGAAATAATGTTGCATTAATTTCTTTGGAGGAAGAATTGGGGAGAGTATGGTGTTCTGGTAAGAAGCATGAGTTGCCACTGAGTTTCAAAGTTTAGCTGAACATGACTTTTAAATAACATTTCAAGTTCTTACAAATTCTCCCAAAGAGGTATATTCCTAACTGTAAAGATTTTCTAAAACTTCTATCATTCTCTTTCTTTTTTATAGTTCATAACTTGAGGCCAGGAGACATAAAAGTTATAGGTGCCCTTGGGGACTCACTAACAGTAAGTGTGGATCACCAAATATACAGTAGTCTATTAGACTGAGCGATATAAAAAGCATTTTTGAATTCTAATTTGAAAAAGGAGGAACAAATGATCTTCAAGGCCAATTGAATTTTCGATGTTTTCTTCTGCTATTCTCCCATGATGCTGGGTTATTAATCTCTTTCAGGCTAGAAATGCCATCTCTCTTGGCTGTTTCCAGTTTCTATGTGCTAACTAATATAGCATAATGGGCACTGCAAACATTTTTCTAGCAATGAAAAATGAGCATCCTGATTATGTGGTAAATAACCTATCTGGGATAATTTTATCCTCAGTAAGTGACAACTCTGCAACAAACATTTATTTTGCTGAGAAGTTGCGTGAAGGTCAGTTTAGATGTGCTGCTACTTTTGTATGCAACACAGACCTTACCCGTGAAAGCTTTGTGTGAGTGTCATAACATTAAAAAAAAGTCTGACATGAGCCATCCCAGATACTTATCTGCCACCCGTGTGTAATCCAGACAGTAGCAATGCCAACAAATGAGTGCTGAATATACCCTTACTATTTCTTCTATCTCACCATCTCCTCCAGGGAGCTTAGAGTAGTGTGTAAGATTACTCCCAACCTGGTGCCATAGGTTAGGTTAGAGAGATGGTTAGTCCACAGTTGCTCATTTAGCTTCATGCTTGATGGGGCTATGAACCTGGACTTATTTTGCCAATTTTGGACCCTGAGTACTACAGCCAGTACTCAAAGCACAGTAAGATGCAGTGCGCTTGTATTCCTGTTCTTTTCCAAGGACCTAAAACAATCTGACTTCCTTCTAACCTAGATAAATTAAAGCCAAAACTAACAGCCATATTGTTTTTCTCTGCACTTGATTAATACAGTGGACCATATGATACCCCACAAGCTTTAGGGTGGATGCATTTAGCAAGAGCCTTTAGAACACTCTAGAAACTTGGGGCAGAGACCCCTTGCACATCACCACTAACTCCACCTAACTCTACCATTTTCTTCTGATGACACCCTACAAGTGTCCTCATTTTCACTTCACTGCCCTGGCAAATGCTCCAACCTGCCAATGGACAAACTAAAAATGGTAGATGGCTAGTATTCTGTCACCTCCTTTGCTCCCTTGCCAACAGGGAAAAAAGAAATAAACCAATGAGCTGCCGCATGAAATCATAGCAGAGCTGCCTCTCAAGCAGAGGAGAAAGAAATGGGAAAAATGCAGCAACTGGAAAATGGTGCCACTTCAGGACTCAGGAAGTGAGATGAGATGAGAGTTCTCACCAGTGGGAAGCATCAAAGGCGATGCTTTTAGGGTTTCCTCCAAAGCAGGAGCTGCTGATTAACTTAGCCCCAGCCCCTGTGACCTTCTGGAAAGCCCTTAGAACTTGTTTTTTGCCAGCAAGCCTGGAGATGCCCTAGTAATAGGGGGGCTGTGTTATATATAGTATTTTCCCTCCTGTGATCTTGCTTTATTTACGTTCATTGTTTTTAACTGATTTATAGAATGCTTTAATTGCCAGTTTTATTGTATGCCACCCAGAGTCATTTTGTGTGAGATGGGCAGCCTTTTATATCTGACAAATAAATTAAAAAATAAATAAAATAAATAAAAACTTCCTGTGCTGGATGGCCCATAGCATTGTGTAAAGATGCAGGGGACCAAATTAAAGGGTCACTTTAGAAGTGCTGCAACACATTCTAAATTAGTTTGGAATTCATTGCTACTTTTGGTCACACGCAAACGTTATACACTTCTGAGCAGCATAATCACTCATAAAAGAAATCAAAGTTCCTCAGGTGTAGAGGATCTGGTCTGAATAGTTTGCAGACACTTTGATTTACATGAGAAGATTTTTTGGGAATCTTTCAAGTATTGATAAACAAGTTTTACATTGACCATAGTAATAATAATAATGAATATTTATTCGTTTGATTTATATCCCCCTGGCTTTTTCTGGGACAGGTTCAAGGCAGCTTATATGAGGATGTCCCTTCATTTTGTACCCACAATTGTCCTCTGAGATAGGCTGGGCTGAGAGAATCACCCCGTGAGTTTCCATGGATGTGGCTGGACTGAGTTTGGATCTTTCTAGCCATAGTCCAATACTTTAACCCTTATACCACACTGGGTCTCTTATTTAAATTAATTCCAACTTGCATCAATTAATCCTAGGCTAGTGGAAGCATTCATTAGTTGGACCAAATATAGTTTATGATTTCATGCTTCTGTGCAATCAGTATTCCTGAATACTATTATATTTCTTGAAAGATTTATTTCTGATTTGTTTGATTCATGACCATCACTTCAATGATTTATTTTAACTAAGGATTCTTATATTGGGCCAATTCATTTTTCATTCTGCTTCATTGCATTATGAAGAGGCACAATACTTTCAAGACATCTTAAGAGCAGCTTTGGGAATACTTCCTGGGGATCATACTAAGTCAGCAGGAGTCTCTCTAATCATGAATTCTTTTTGTTCTCTTGGCTATCAGGCAGGAAATGGGGCAGGATCTTCACCATTCAATATTCTTGATGTTCTGACACAATATCGAGGCCTTTCATGGAGGTAAGTGCTATAATCTAAATACTTTTGATTATCCAAAATCTGCAATCTGTTTTGTATAGTTTTCTTTTCAAGGGCATTAGAAATCAACCTCAGTCTCCTCCCTGCTCATATGAACTATCAGAAGTATGTTTCCACCCTGTTTTGGAGTAATCCTCAAGTTGCTATGCTTACAATTTGGGTTAATCACTTTGGTAACAATTTAATGGTATTCCATAATGATAGGTTAGCACAGGTCTACTGGCAATAGCGGACAAATGCCTAAAGAGAGTTATAAATTAGTTCTGCTCAGAAAAGTTGCTATGAGTTACAGATTGAAATTGTAATTTAGATACTCCTTTTTTATGTACAGTTTAGCAGAGCTGTTGGGAAGTGTATCCTTTATGACCCTTGAAATACCCCAAGCTTCTGTGTTCTGCTCCTGCTTCTCTGCATAGGGGAGCCTTATGGATTATGTTTCATATGAGGTTATTTGGGTGATTTGCCATACTGCAATTTGCTTTTAAAAACAAAACTGGTCAGTGCACTTTCTATCAGAGGAAATGCAATTTCAGATTGAATCAATATTCAGGGGACAAGTGAAAGGAGGAGGGAAGTAGAAGAATTGTTTTCCCCTTCTGCCTTCCCTCCTCCCCACTTTCTCAAAGTCTTAAGGCTGGTATTAAAGATGGGAGTCAAAAGTAGCAACCTACTGGGATGAAATAAAAGGAATATAGATATACAAATTAGCAAAATTCAGCATTATTGAAAGAGGAAAATATATAATATACTCAAAAATCAGAAGTAACTGATGAAAAACAGTGCTGCTCAGCTCCCTGATCCTCTGTAGAACACTTCAAGCTTCTGATATGGATGACCTTCAAAGATGGTATTTCCCTTCATCCTTGCATAGTAGTAGATGCACTGAATAAATGAAGGAATTACATAGTGTTTTTAACAGAAATAGTTATTACTTACTGTAGAGATGCTGGATTTTTAATCATGTCCTGTATAGCAGGTTGATGTAGTTTATGATTCCCAAACTCCCAGCAGCCTTCTATTGTAGCCTGCCAGTCACCTTCCACTTATTTGGGGGTCCTAAGTAGGCAGCAGCAGGAAGCAGGAAGCTGACCAGCCTCTGGTTCATCAGAAGAAAGATCCTGGGAAATTGCTGAAAGCATCTGATGCTGTAGCTTTGCTGAAGCTGGGTCAGTCTGGAGCCAAGAACCAAGAAGCCTCCTTAGATAGATTCCTGAAGGGGAGGGGGTTGTCCGATGTCAGACTCCACAGTTCAAATAAGAAGAGATTGTTGAAGGTCTGAAATATCACCAAAGGAAGTGTGAGACTGATTCCAAATAAAGCCTTTTGTTTGCTTTCTTTTTCTTGTTTTTCTCACCCCATCCCAAAACTGCAGCATTGGTGGAAATGAAAACATAAAAGCAGTCACAACATTAGCGAGTAAGTGCCTCTTTCCTAGAGGTTGGTGTATTTGCAAGCTCTTTCATAATTTATGGACCAGACTTGAGAAAATGTTTAGCAAGCTGTCAGTTGAAACCATTTTGCATTCAGGATCTAGAACCAGTAGGGTGTAGGAGGCAGAAAGCTGCTGAACCTAATGCTGTAATTTGCTGTCATGTTTTGCATTGATCATTTCATAGGTTCTTAGTTGGTTCTATTAACTCCATCCCTCTCAACATTCTGCAAGCCCCTCAAGACCTGGCTAGGTCATCAGGCCTGGGGGTCCCAGGGGACCGGGGAGATTTTGCAATGGCTCCCTTACTGTGGTTAATAACATCCTCTCTTCTTTTGTGTGCTTTTTACAGTTATTTTTTTTAATTCAACTGTTTTTATGTATTTATTGTTTTTAATTAAGTGTTGTATGCTGCCCAGAGTCACTTTTATGTGAGATGGGCAGCTATATAAATATGATTAATAAATAAATATTTCACTAATAGTAATATTACTACTATTACTGTTGTTCTTGATATTAAGCAAATATGCAAGCATCTTATTTGTCTTGAAGTTCCATATTTATATTGAATGGACAGATAGTTGCTTAGAAACTCAGCTAGGAAATCAGTGCATGTCAAACTGCAGGCAGCTCAAGGAATTCAGAAATTTAGAAGAAAGGAGAAGAAATGTGGAGCAAGGGGTGGGAAATGTTCCCCAAGGAAGCCCCCAGCAAGTTGCATCACAACAGATAACAGTCCTCAACTTCAGCAGTGGCTATTCAGATGCTCCTGCTAGCTCAGATGTGACTTTATGATGAAAGCCACCTCTGCTTGGTTTATTCCCACACTTGATATTTAAACTACTATCTTTCATCTGAATAGTGCTAGCCCCTCTTCAATCCTGCAGGTTATTACAGGGATATTGGAAAGGGGGTGGGGAGGGGAGCTGGAAGACATGGTTCTGTCCATAGTTCAAAATCTGAAATGTTTGTTTGTTTGTTTGTTTGTTTAGCGTATTTATATAGCTGCCCATCTCACATAAAAGTGACTCTGGGTGGTGTACAATATTTATTTAACATAAAATATTTATGTTCCATTTTATTCTCTGAGTTAATAATCATGATGCTGATCCCATTCTCTCTAAGGGTAATAGAAATTAAGGATGTTCCATGAAGAAATGCTGACCATTTATTTGTCCTGAGCCTACTACCAATTAATTTCATCAATAACCCTTAGCTCTAGAGTTCTGTGTTACAAGAAATAGGAAAAAAGAAACGTTCAGTTCATCCACTGATTTTGTATTACAGTATTCCTAATTTGATAAACCACAATCATATTCCTCCTTCCTGATTTTTTTTAAACAAAATTTCTGTCTCCGCAAACTTCTGTAATCTTTCTTCAGGCTCATAGGAAAGATGCTAAATCTTTTTTGACATTTTTAGTTGCCCTTCATATTCCATGAAATAATAAGAAATTCCGCATATGGTGATAATATATTGTATAATGACAAAATATTTTATTCTTCCTGCCATTGATTTCCACCACCCCCCATGTTCCACCCCCACGCTATATCTTCCTTCCCTTTCCCTTTCCTTTTCCCTTCCTTTCATGCCCAATTTCCAAACATGAGAGCCATGTAGCTCCCATCTTTGTTTGTTGGTCCTGATCGAGTCCATGACTGAATCCAGACACTAATTTAGCACCTGTATGGGCCATTGTGACTCAGATAACGAGCAGATACAGAGTTCGATATCATGAGCTTTTTAATGGACCCTCTCAAAATTCCTTGATATCCTCTTCTACGAGCTTCATAAACATACCAAAAAATATGATGGATAAGAGAAAGACCTTTAGGAGCCTACAAATACCAGAGTTAAGCAGAAAATTGCCAATGCTATCTTCAGCAAGTGTCTGAGCAGAATCACCATATAATAGTGTGCACTAGTGTCGATCTTCAGAATTGGTACAGCAAGACATCATGAAAACTGGGATATATTCCTCTGTCTATATGCCAAGAATAACCACAACTTTTTTAATATCCAAACCAAGCTAAACCCAAACTGAAATGTATCCAGACAGAGTGTATCACCAGATTAGTTTTGGGGGTGTTTTTTGTTGCGACCACTGCAACATTTTGAGCTGATTTCAGATCTGAGTGTATACCAATGTATAAATTTGCCTTTCATTTCTTCCTAGACATTCTTCGTGAGTTCAATCCTTCTTTGTTGGGCTTTTCCATTGACAAAGGAAATCAGAACCAGCCTAAAGCTCATCTGAACCAGGCTGTGCCAGGAGCTCGCGCTGAGTAAGGGACCAGAAAGGTGTTGGGAGGATCTGTTTGCGTGTGTGTATGTGTGTGTGTCTGTGTGAGAGAGAGAGAGAGAGAGAGCGCAAGTTTTTGACCACATTAATTGCACTCTTTGGCATTAATTTGTATTTGTGCCATAATTGAGTAACTTATTATTTTAATACCAAAAGTAGCATTTTAAAAGCAACTGAATAACAGAGATGAAACTTTATGTTTTTATTACTTTGGCTTAAATGATGCTCCATTTTTGAAGACTTGGGGCAGGTTGGGGAGCATCATTTTACAACTAGAGAAAGGCTAGTCTTAGTTATCTCACTTTCTCTAATGTTAAGATGGCTGTAATTTATCATAACATTTACTCATGATTTAACTTAGGATCATTGTAATTTTTCTGCCAGGACAAATCATTTCTGTTGAAGAAGTTTTTCATCAGTCCCACCCTTCTTTCCTAGAAATTTGATTGCAAAAATATATATTTACAGCACAGTTATTATTCTGAGCCCATTTCCTCTTAGTCTGCATCTCACTCGGACTCTTAATCTGTCATCAGAATAGTTACATTTGCTAAAGCAACCTGTGCTCCTTTCAGTAGTGTCTGCGTTGGGCGGGCGTGATGATGTGTCAAATAGGTCAGTCTGACAAAAGGATCATTGTGCCTTCATGACACAATGTCAGCCACTTCTGTATGTTTGTCATGACAGCGCATGCACATCCAGAAGTGATGTGCTGGCACTGTCCTGCTTTTGTTATTTTTATCCCATCAGCCCAAGTTTGGAGTAGCAGAAGTAGTTCCAGCAACATCTTGAGGGCCAAAGAACTGCCCAAAATGTGGCATATTATTGTTATCATTCCTCACCTTAGTGGAGCACCATTTAAACTAGACCTGTGTCAGATATTTTCTGCAGACTTTTTCTGGTGCAACTGAACTGCTGAATTTATTTATGTAAAGGCAGGTACTTAGCTCTGGCATAATACTTACATCTAAAGAAAGAAGATGGTAATGGAGGTGGGATGCTGGTTGGAATAACCATTTTTTTACTCCTGCCTTTTCCCTTTCCTTCCACCTCCCCAGTCCCAGACAGCAGCGATGAGGAGACCTGTGTGGTTACACAAAACAGTTGCAGAAAGACCACTTGCAGCATGGAAGTGCTCTATGAAACCTATTTGCTTAATGCCAGTATGTTTCAGCAAAGGGCTTTAGATTTCCACATTTTAAATTTGTTTTACCATTTCTGCAGATAAACATAACCAATGTCCACTCCTAGTATCTTTACGACATGTAATTCTGCTCCCTCCATCTTCTCACTCCATGACACCAGAGACTCTCTAGGCCAGTGTCTCTCAACCTTGGCAACTTGAAGATGTGTGGACTTCAACTCCCAGAATTCAATTCCCCATTGCTGGCTGGAGAATTCTGGGAGTTGAAGTCCACACATCTTCAAGTTGCCAAGGTTGAGAAACACTGGCCTAGAGAGTCTCTGGTGTCATGGAGTGAGAAGATGGAGGGAGCAGAATTACATGTCGTAA